ATTTTCCTCTAATTTTTGGATAGAATCAGTATTTTTTAATTTTAATTGTGACCTTTTTATTTTTTCGTGTTGCGTTCCTATAGAAATTTTAGGGGGTGAATGGACATCAACTTTCACTTCTATATTTCTTTCAACTTTAAAACTATCGCTTGAATGTGTTGCAATATCCATAGATTCTTCTTCTAAATATTTATTTTTCTGCGTATTTTTATTAGGTTTCTTTTTATATGGATCACCCGTTGTATTGTCTCTGCTCGTGCGCTTGCGCGTTGCTGCAACGGTGCTGTAGTCCATCGGCGTTTCCACTTCCTGACGCTGTCGCGTGGCGGCGTCGTCATCGGTATGACGCTTGACCGAATCACGCCCTTCAGCCGTATTCACAGGCCTCGCTATTTCCTTAACGTTGTCGTGGTGTTTTACTATACTTTCAGAACTCGAAGTTTTAGAAGGCTTCTGTTTTTTCTTCTTCGTTGCAGTTTGCGATGTTCCAGATTCGATGAGCTACTCTCTCGCTTTCTCTTTTCTCCCTTTCTAATAATTCCTGAGCCATCGGTTTCATAATCAGTATCATAATAATATGATGCTGTACTATCACTGTTGCTGCTTTCTAAGTCAGCTATAAATTTACTTCTGGGCGGTTCTTTTAATTCATCATCCGAATCTTCATAAGGGGATAATTCTTCAGTTCTTAATTTTTTGTGTGGTGCGGGATTTCCAGATCCCTCACTCTCCCACATTCTTTTAAATTTTTGATGTGAAATTTTTTGTTTTTATAATCGGCTTCCATGGAACCTTCGCTTGAAGATCGTGCACGTTTTGCTTGTAGAGGAAATATATTTTTAATATTTACCGTAGGATTTTGTGATAAAGCGTCGGCGTTTTTATTTTTCTTTCCCGGTTTGTATTTTATTTGATAATCATATTCCACTAATTTAAGCCTCCATCGCATTAATCTCGAGGTAGGATCAGCTATTGAATTTAACCATTCTAGTGGTTTATGGTCCATTATTAATGTGAATTTTCGGCCATAAATATAGGGGCGAAAATGTTTTACTGCATAAATCAGTGCTAATAATTTTTTTCTGTTGCTGAGTATCTCGTTTCTGCGTCGCTTAAAACTCGAGAAGTATATGCTATTGGAAGATCATGTC